CTCAGAACACACCATTGGTTGGTTCTCTAACTATCTCTCAGACCGGAGGCAATGTGTTCAACATAATGGTACTTCCTCCAGTTATTTAACAGTCAACAATGGTGTACCACAAGGCTCAGTCTTAGGACCCACCCTCTTTACAATCTACATACATAATGTAGGTAAAAACATCCCTAATGCATCCATACATTTCTATGCTGATGACACAGTTGTTTATTGTCGAGCTAAAACTGTTGCTAAGGCTTTCCAGCTTTTGAAATCTGCATTTAACATCATCCAGACTGATTTGTTTCGCCTCAAACTTGTCCTAAATGCCGAAAAAACCAAAGGGATGTTTTTTTCAAATAGGAAGTTGGTCCCAGCAGTTCTTCCTCCGATTTTATCCTCAAATGGTGTCCCCATTGAGTTTGTTGATTCCTATAAATATTTGGGTATCTTGGTCGACTCACATCTCTCTTTTAAGCTCCATGTGGAAAACTTGGTAAAGAAACTGAAAGTTAAACTGGGTTTCTTTTTCAGAAACAAATCCTGTCTAACCCTGAATGCTAGAAAACGCCTTGTATCTGTGACTTTCCTTCCCTCCATTGATTATGGAGACATTATTTATATGAACGCTCCTACAAGAAGCCTGCAGATGTTGGATGCTGTCTATCATGGTGCACTAAGATTCATAACTGGCTGTGATTATCGTACCCACCACTGCACCCAGTATTCACTGGTTAACTGGACATCATTAACTTACGCAGACTCTCTCACTGGTACATTTTCATCTTTAAATCACTTCTTGGTCTGCTGCCTTCATACATCTCCTCCTACATGTCTCTGCGTGAGTGCAGCTATAGAGTGCGCTCTCAGGACATCATTACCTGCAGTGTTCCCTCAGTGAGGACTGAACTAGACAAAAGGGCCTTCTCCTACTCTGCTCCTGTTTCCTGGAATATCTTACAAAAAGATTTGAAGCTCTCGACCTTTGACCTCTGTAAGTGTCTTTAAGAATCTGTTGGACTCCTGGCAGGGACCAATGCAGACATGTTCCTGTTTTTAGTTTTCTACATTTGTCTTGGAATCTAGCTGGTTTTTGTTTTGTTACCTTTTTCTTTTAGCCATCCTATTTGTTAAAAAAAAAAAAAACCTGCAGTATGACTTTTTATAATTGTTTATTGTTGTTGCTGTTGTCCATTGTTGTCATCTTTCTTTGTTGAAATCAGGTCTCTCTTGTAAATGAGTCCTCGAGGCTCAATGGGATTTACCTGTATAAATAAAGGTTGATTGATTTATTTATAGAGCACATTTAAAACAGAACCTGTTATCAAAGTGCTTAACAACAATCAATCGATCAATGGGAATAAAATTAAAGAGAAAAAATACAATACACTAATAATAATAACTGAAGAATGAATAAAAAGCATTTAAAACTTTCAACCAGTTTGACAAGACTGTCAACAAGGAAGAGGGCCGGCAATGGAGGAGGGGGCATACCAAAGAGACCATCTTATCACAAGCAGAACTGGTTTGTTCCACTTTGGAGTAAGCTGTTGGGGGAAGAATCAGTTTTGTTATGTTTCCTTGACTGATGAAGCCTTCTGGATCGAAGTCGAAACGTTTCAGCACACAAAAAAGAAAAAACTGTCCAGATGACCTGACTGAAAAATGTTGGACTGTAAACCTGGATTATTGAGCATGGACTTTGTCATTTAAAACATGGGGTCACAGATTAAAAAACACTAAATCAACTAAGACTGTATGAAATGCCTGAGAGAACAGATGTGTTTTAAGCAGAGATTTGAAGTGAGGAAGGGAGGTGGCCTGCCTGATGTTGGGGGGCAGGTTGTTCCAAAGTTTGGGGCCCATGACTGAAAAAGCCCGATCTCCTCTGAGCTTCAGTCTTGTTTTTGGAACAGCCAAAAGCAGCTGATCGAATGATATCAGGGCCCGAGAGGGAACGTAAGGTTCCAGAAGCTCAGAGAGGTAAAGGGGTGCGAGGCCATTTAGGTTTTTGAAGGTCAACAGAAGAATTTTAAAGACTATCCTCGTACGAACATGGAGCCAGTGAAGGGAGGACAGAACTAGAGTAATATGTTCAGACCTACGAGTTCCGGTTAAAAGCCGAGCAGCAGCATTCTGGACGAGCTGAAGACGTGAGATGGAGGCCTGGCTGATCCCAGCACACAGTGCATTGCAATAGTCCAATCGAGTCGTGACAAAGGCGTGGACTAGTTTCTCAAGGTCGGGTCTGGACAACGCTGGCCTGAGCTTAGCTACCTGTCTGAGTTGGAAGAAGCTTTTCTGCAGAACAGAGTTGATTTGTTTGTCAAAATTGAAGTCAGAGTCTAAAACCATCCCGAGATTTTTACCAGACTGCTTCAGATATGCTGATATGCTTAAGTTAATGAGATGGAATTTTTGGGTGTAATCATTGATGAACAGCTAACATGGAAAAATCACATAAATTCTGTAAGAACAAAAATATCTAAATCTATTGCAGTACTATACAAAGTCAGGGAATTATTAAATGATAAAGCTCTGTACGTGTTGTATAACACAATCATTGTTCCACATTTAATCTATTGCATTGATGTTTGGGGGAAAGCGTGTAAAACATTTACAAAACCTATTTTTATTTTACAGAAAAGAGCTGTAAGAATTATCACCAGAAAGCATTACAGTCACCCATCAAGCACATTATTTTATCAACTGAACTTATTGAAGTTCCATGATTTGGTAGATTATAGTATTTTATCAGTTATGTATAGGGCTCAAAATAACACATTACCATTAAATATCCAAAGAAATGTTGTTAAAAGACAAAGTTGTTATAATCTTAAGGGGATAGAGATATTTGTCAAACCAACATTCAGAACTAGTCTGAAGGGAAGGTCTACCTCAATCCAAGGAGTTGGATTGTGGAATGTTCTGGAGAGTGATGTGAAAAATGTCAAGTCAATGTGAACATTTAAGAAAAAGATCAAAACTGAATTGTTAAAAAAAAATATATGAAGTAGCTTAGTGTGTGTTTTGTATTAGAATTAGAAAAATTAAAAAGAGTTATTCATTTTGTTCTGGTACTTGAAGATTATTATGATTGAAATAACTGTTTGAAAAAAGGGGCAGATATAATAAGATTTTTTTCTTCTTTCTGCTGCCTTTCATTTTAAATCTCTTGTATTTTTTTATATTGTTATGGATTTTTTTTTTTTTTTTTTTTTAATGAATAAACTTTATTCTATACCATAGATATGGCTGAAGAGAGTCCACGTTGACAGGATCAGTGGTGGCAGCTGAGCTAGGGCTAAAGACAATGACTTCAGTCTTGTCATTGTTAAAACTTAAGAAATTTGAAGCCATCCAGGCCCTAATGTCATTCAGACATTTTAACAGAGGGTGAATGGTGCAAACACTTGCTGGTTTCACAGGCAGGTAGATCTGGCAGTCATCAGCATAGCAATGGAATGAAAGACCATGTTTCCTCAGGATGGACCCCAGTGGGAGCAAATAAAGTGAGAACAGAAGGGGTCCAAGAATCGAACCCTGTGGGACCCCGCAAGAAAGAGGTAATGAGGCGGTTACATTATTACCAACCTTGACACAAAAACTCCTGCCACTCAGGTATGAGCGGAACCATTCTAATGCAGCACCTGTGATCCCAACCCACTGTTCCAGCCGTGATATAAGGATACTGTGGTCAACAGTATCAAAAGCAGCAGTAAGGTCCAGGAGCACAAGTACCACAAATTGACCAGAATCGTTTGAGATCATAATGTCATTACAAACGCTCACTAACGCTGTTTCAGTGCTGTGGAGTTGCTTAAAACCAGATTGAAAAATCTCGAAGATTCCGTTGAATGAAAACTATTTTCTCCAAGATTTTGGACAGGAAGGGAAGTTTTGAGATTGGTCTGAAATTTGAGCAAGTCGAAGGGTCAAGTCCAGGTTTCTTAATTAACGGATGAACTACTGCATGTTTGAAAACATCGGGAACCACACTTGTCACAATACTACTATTTATAATGGTAAGAACAGAGGGTCCAATCGTGGGTAGAACTTGATTGAAAAACGACGCAGGAATGGGGTCAGCAGGGGAACCGGAGGGTTTCATCTGACCAACGACTTTGTTCAGAAATGGGTTCAAACTGTTTGAAGACAGCTGAGCAAGGGACAAAGACAGAAGGATCAGTTGTGGACTGGGGGATGGATGACCTAATCAACTCTACCTTATCAGCAAAGTATCTGGTAAAGTCATTGCAGATGTCAACGGAGGCCTCCATGCTGGCAGACCGAGGCACGTTTAAAATGGAATTTATGGTATTAAAAAGAACACGGGGACTATGACTGTTTGAAGCAATGATTTGGGAGAAGTATTTGTTCTTTTCAGATTTAACGATTATTAATGGAAAAGCCTTGGAACCGGGCTGAGTCAGTCCAGTCGGGACATACCGTTACTAATGGAAAAGGGGCATTAGAGACCTGGTCCAACTCCCAGTAATAAATAATAAATCAGTAGCATCAAAGCTCTCCACACTGTTCTTTTGTTTCACAGTCTCACACTGTGACAACGCTAACACACATTAGCTCACCTATATTCCTCCGTGTCCTTAATTGTGTCAGGCAACGGCTTGTTGAGAGTCTCTGGAAGGAAGCAGGCGAAACCACTGGCCAGAACAGCTGCACCTCCATAGACTATACTAGGCAACACAGGAAGCACCTGAGGAAATCGCTTAGTCAGTAACATCTTTATCTGTTGATCATCCTCTATGGCGATGACTTGATGGTGTTTATATACTGCATATGATTAAAACTCGTTGATGATGTTACTTCATCACTGAAACTTTTCTGAGAGCTTACTAAAACTCTGGATCAGAGAAATTACCTCATCCAAAATCAGGACTGCAGGGGCTGCCATGCTGCCAGCTCTTGCCATAGTAGAGACAAAACCCATTCCTGTCTGCCTAAAAGTACAGCATATACATCATGTGATCAGTGTGTCACATGATCAGCAGATGATCAGCTTATTTGAGGTTCTGGTCCAGTCAGGCTTCAGTCAGGTGGTCTAACCTGATGACAGTGGGGTACAGCTCTCCAGTGAACAGATAAACGGTGGTGAAGGAGGCTGACGTGAAGGCTTTACCTAGACAGGCCAGTGTGGTCCTCAGGGTTTGCATGTCTGCAGGGATTAAACCAGAAACAGGACTAGATGAGTTCTAGGACAAGAGTTTAGAACAAAAATCATTATCAACAATCAATATAAGGACCAAGATCAGGGTCAGAAACAAAATTCAAATAAAAATTATAAAGGAGCAGATCTAGAATAAAAATATGAAGTGGGAGAAGGACTGCAATCAGGATCAGATCAGAAGCAAGAAGAGAATCAGTACCTGTAGGGACAAAGATGTTGGCAAAGATGATAACAGCTGACAGGAAAAGACAGGACACCTGAGATACCCGCCTCCCCAGGTAACTTAGCATGCCCAAAGCAAAAAACTTGGCAGGAACATCAACAGCTGCAAAGATGATCTGCATCAGGTAAATACTCACCTGAAACAGCCAATGAGTAAATAGTTTAGTGTAAATCGCCAAAATAACAACAGGAAGGTTTCAATGAGCTGGAGTAATTCACGTCAAGTGACAGGTGCCAAGGTAAAAGTTCTGAAAGAACTCACCCCAAACTTCTGAAGATCCATCGCCAGACCATAATATGCAAAACTGGTGGCAAACCTGAACAGGAAGACAGGTAAACATCGACACAGGTAGTATTTGAGTGAACATACACTAGAAAAACACAGTAATAAAGAATTTAAAAAATATGAAAGCAGAAATCAAGTTAAAAAGGTTTCTGACCATACTGCGACCAGACAGATGGAGATGCGTCGTATCCGTCTGGTTTTTAGCAGGTCAAATGCTGTGAACGTTGAACCACTCGACTCAATCTCTTTACTCATGTGAAAGTGGAGTATCTGCAGTCACATGGTCCTAAATTAGCCTTGAATTGGACAGAAACATTGAAACATGTACTATAGAAGTAGACACCTCACATCAAGAGTGAGCTCGTCCTTAATCTCTGCTTTTCCATTGATTCGAGCAACTCTGTGAAGACTTGTCAGTGCCTCGTCTGACCGACGGTTCAGCACCAACCAACGAGCTGACTCTGCATACCACCTGATCAACCAGAGACGAGAATAAAACCACTTGACCAATCAGAGAAAAGTCTAGAACTACCTGACCAATCAGAGAAGCAACTAGAACCACCTGACCAATCAGAGAAGAGACTAGAAACACTTAACCAATCAGAGAAGAACCTAGAACCATCTGACCAACCAGAGGAGAGACTAGAAACACCTGACGAATCAGAGAAGAGACTAGAACCATCTGACAAACCAGCGAAAAAACAAAAACCAATGAACCAATCAGAGAAGAAACTATAACCACCTGACCAATCAGAGAATATACTAGAACCACCTAACATACTAGAAAAAAAGACTAGAACAACCTGATCAAGTTCACACGAGAAGATGTAAAAAATGGCGGGTTGGCTTTCTTGGACTGTGAGGTCTCAGTCTCTGATAGAGGACATTTGCCAACCGAGGTGTACCGCAAACCCACCCACACAGACCAGTATTTGCAGTTTGACTCCCATCACCCTTTGGAGCACAAAATAGGAGTCATCAGGACTCTGTACCACAGAGCAGACAGCATCCCCACTAACTCAGGAGCCAGGCAGAAGGAGAAATCCTACACAAGACAGGCTCTAGAGCAATGTGGATATCCTAACTGGGCCTTCCTGAAAGCAGAGAAGAAACCCAAACAGGACTCCAGTCAGCCATCAGGTGAAAAGGAGGAACCCAGACCCAGACCAGTGGTCATTCCGTATGTTGAGGGAGTATCAGAGAAACTGAGATGTTTATTTTCTAAACATAACGTCCCAGTGGCTTTTAAACCCCAAAATACATTACGGCAAAGACTGGTTCATCCCAAAGATCCAGTCCCCCGGCACAAACAGAGTAATGTTGTGTATGCTGTTCAGTGTCAGGAGGGCTGTGATCAGTCTTACATCGGGGAAACTAAACAGCCACTGGCCAAAAGGATGGCCCAGCACAGAAGATCAACATCATCAGGTTAGGATTCTGCGGTCTACACTCATCTCCAGGCCAGTGGTCACTCTTTCAGAGATGAAGATGTTCACATCCTGGACAGAGAGGAACGATGGTTTGAGAGAGGAGTAAAGGAGGCCATCTTTGTGAAAAGAAATCGTCCATCATTAAACAGGGGTGGAGGCCTCCGGGTTCAACTGTCCCCCTCTTACAATGCTGTGATTGCTAGTATCACTCAGCCCTCTGTGAATAGTAAACAGCCATCAGGTGCTAATGATCCATTGTTAGGCTGATGGTCCTGCTTGACCATGTGAGCAGCTGGTTTTGGTTGTCAGCAGCAAACTGGTTGATCCACTCTGAGAAGGTGCTATTTAAGAGACTGAGCTGAATACAGCACCTCAGACTGAGGAAGTCTTTCGAATGAGAGATGAAACGTTTATACATTTTTTTGCTTTGGTTTTTTTTGTTTATTTTTTGAATGTCCAGAGGACCAGATTGAACTTTTTTGGATTTTTCTACCTGGATTATTGAGCATGCATCAGGATAAACTAGAATCTCCTGACCAACCAGAGAATACAAGGAAAGCACATGACAAATCATAGAAAAAACTAAACCCAACTGACCAATCATAGAGAAGAATAGAAACACCTGATGAACCAGAAAATAGAATGAAAACACCTGACCCATCAGAGAAAAGACTAAAACCTACGAATCAATCAGAGAAGACACTAGAACCACATGACCAAACAGAAAAGGGACTATGAACACCTGACCAATCAGAGAAAAGAAACACCTGACCAATCAGAGAAGAGACTAGAACCACTTGACCAATCAGGGAAGAAACTAGTACCCCCTGACCAATCAGAGAAGAGATTAGAACCACCTGACCAATCAGAGAAAAGATTAGAACCACCTGACCAATCAGAGAAGAAACAAGACCCACCACACCGTTCATAAAAGAGACTAAAACCTCCTGACCACTCATATAAGAGATTAGATCCACCTGACCAAGCAGAAGGAAAGCCTAGAACCACCTGACAACTCATAGAAGAGACTAGAACATCTGACTAATCAAAGAAGATACTAGAACCATCTCACCATTCATTGAGGAGACAAGAACCACCTGACCAATTAGAAAAGAGACTAGAAACACCTGACCAATCAGAGAGGAGACTAGAGCCACCTGACCAATCAGAGGAGAGATTAGAACCACCTGACTAATCAAATAAGAGAATAGAACCACCTGACCAATCAGAGATAGGTTAGAACCCCCTGACCAAGAGACTAGAACCACTTAAACAATCAGAGAAAAGACTATAACCACCTGACCAATCAGGGAAGAGACTAGTACCACCTGACCACTCATAGAAGAGACTAGACCGATCTGACCAATCAGAGAAGAGACAAGAACCACCACACCATTCATAAAAGAGACTAAAACCTCCTGACCACTCATAAAAGAGACTAGAACATCTGACCAATCAGAGAAGAGACTAGAACCACCTGACAATCAGAAGAAAATATTAGAACCACCTGACAATTCAGAAATAGGAATAAATAGGGGAAAAAATAGGAGAAATATTAAATGGGGCAAGAACCTCCAGACTAACCAGGGATTACTTTTGTGGCACTAACCAGCTGTAGGTGAAGAACAGGAAGTGGGGAGCACAAACAAACACCTGCAGCTTCCGCCAGTCTCTCAGCCAATAGGCAAGCCCTGCCAAGATCATCTGACCAAAGGTGAAGAAGAAGGAAGTGAGCGTGCCCACTAATGTCCTTGATTTGGTTGGTATCCACTCCACCTCTGAAGACAGAAAGGAAGGCAGTGCAACAGTGAACAACACAGGTGAGCATATGATTTGGTAAACAGGTGAACAAAATAATAAAATGAGGACAGGTACTCAGCGAGACTCCATTAAGAATGATCCCAGACACTGCCATCCCACTCAGAAATCTAAAAACACAGTAGGCAGAGTATGAAGGTGAGAGGGCGGAGCTACAGCCAAGCACACCTAGTTGCAGGTATGACCAAATAAGGACAGACTTCCTCCCAAACCTGAAAAACAAAGTGATAGTGGTATAAGTTTGCTGTTCACCAGAAGTGATGCACAGAAGATTCTGACAACTGAACCTCACCTGTCCGACAGGCTGCCAAAGATGATGGAACCTGTTAAAACTCCGCCCATATAAGTACTCTGAATCATCTGTTTGAGAGGACGCCGGGAACACACCAGGCCCCACTGAGACACACATGGACATGGACAGGTAGAGACAGACAGGTGGAGACAGACAAGCAGGTGGAACAGACAGGCAGACAGACATGGAGGGGAAAAAACAGACAGTAGAGACAGAAAAATACCAGGGAACCGACAGGTTGAGGGGACAGACAGACAAGTGGAAACAGACAGATAGACAGGCAGGTGGAGACAGGTAAAGACACATGAACAGGTGCAGACAAAGAGACAGAGTTAAGTCATTCATGATTTTGGATGTTGATCTGTTTCATTAGGAATCACATTTGTCATTAACTTTAGCCTCACTGCTAACTTTGTTAATATTTGTGACTTCTAAATCTTCTTAATCACCAGTCTCAATGATTTACACTAGCTCTATTAATGTTTACTAACTTCATTAATATTCTGTTTTATACATCCCTTTCAAAATATTCACTGTAATATACTGTAATTATTCATTTACCTGGGCAGCCATAACTAAATCATTGTGTTGTTATCGATCAGTCTTATAAATGTCCTACAACTACAAATGAACCTCTGTAACATCTGTTGTCTGAGGTCCTGGTTGTTACCTCAGAGACGGTGGTGGTAGAAAACTCTGATTGGTCAAAGGTCCATCCATCCACACATCCTTCGGTCTGTAGATGGCTAATATTGGCTGAGCTGTTTGGGGCTAACAAGTGCCACTGAGGCTGCACATACCTGAGCAACAGGTGCAACAGGAGGTGATGATAGAGATTTATACACAACAAATTGAGAAAAAATATATGTTACCTCCTGCAGCGGTCCAGTTTATTTCCTGATGAGTCTGGAGGAATAAAAACTTTAAGCAGTTGCTGCTTGTCCACCTGAAACAAACAATCACAATTTTCTGTCAGAACAACCAACCAACCAATCACAGCCTTCTGTCAAATCAACTAACTAATCAACTTAATTACACAAAAACTGGGGGGTGTAGCTGTGGTGCAGTGGAAGAGCAGCCAACATGGGACCAGAAAATTGTACATTCCCACCATGCTCATATGCCTTTAGACAAGACTTGTATTCACTAACTGCTCACTGGGAGCTCAAATAGATTTTTATTATTAAACTTTATTTAACCAGGCAAATCCCATTGAGATCACAGATCTCTTTGCAAGGGAAGCCTGGACCTGAAGGCAGACTAACATGCATGTTTTTGGTCTGTGGGAGGAAACCGGAGTACCCGGAGAAAACCCACACAAGCACAAGAAGAACATGCAAACTCCACATAGAAAGACCCCAGGTCCAACTTGGGATTGAAGCCAGGACCTTCTTGCTGTGAGGCAACAGTGCTAACCACTGAGCTGTTGTGCTGCCTTCTGAGATGCTTTGGGGGATCTCAGAAGTAATAATAATAAGGCATTTTATTTGTTAGCGCAAGAATGAAGGGAGCGTGAATGGGTGATCATGTGCAGGAGATCGGACAGATGGGGAGGGGCGAGGTTATGGATGGTCTTGAATGTGTACAACAGGATTTTAAATATAATTTTGAAAGTGACTGGAAGCCAGTTGTAGTGAACCAGATGACCTCAAATCTACCAGATGGACAGAGACTGTTATTTTCATTGATCTGAATAAGTCTGGGCCATCTGATGTCTTTCTTTCTTGAATTAATCAAGCAGAAAAGACAATTCTTTATAATCATTACTGTCTTACAAATGTTTTGATAATCAAATTGTGTTAGTTCACTCAATGCTTTACAGGTTGAAAAGAACTACTCATTTTTATTTTACATAAACAGTAAGTAATGATTTTTGTTCCTCATTCAGAGAAGAAATCACCTGAATATGCCTTTCTTGATTTTCTGTCTGAAATGAGCAAGTCGTAAGTGTGTGAAAGTTGAGGCTTCGGTCAGCTAAATGTTTACTGAAGAAAAATGTCATGTTTAAACTTTTTCAGAAGATTACCAAGAGTAGACTCCAAAAAGTCTGCTGCTTCTGCAATAATCTTTTCTGTATGTTAAACAAGTTTCATTCTCTGACCTCGACTGTTGATAAACACCTTACGTCAAAACCACTCCTCTTTCTGGTCCTTCCACGAATCAGAAAGCTCTAAATTGAACAGGAAGTCGACCCAAATAAAATGTGGCAACTCCCCAGTTCATGTTAGATTTCGAGAGAATTCCAGAATTCCAAGAGAATGAGAGTTCTGAGAGATGTTGGAATGAGAGCAGATTGAGAGTGCAGCCGGTTCTGAAAGCTTCAGAGCAATGAAGAGTCCAAGAGTTATGAAGAGTTTGGAGTTATGAAGAACCAGGGACGTTTGGGATTATAATTCTGTTTTGAGCTAACCACGCACGACTCTCCGAGGATTTTTAGCTGTTCTTAACGGAGGCGCTGAAACAGTCTGAAGGATGCTTACTGAGCTGATCCATCGTCAAACCAGGTAAAGACTTCTTCGACCAAGTGTACCGTGGGCAAAGCTGAGATACCTGATGGGAGCGTGCAACTTCTGGTCAAACAGATTAAATTCCCTCACACAGTTCTCTGTAAGATAATCTCCTTTCACTCTAAAACTCACCTCTCTCTCATAAATCAGCACAGATATTTTTAGAAATATCTGAAGCAAAGTCCTCAAATCACCGCCGAGTGATTTGAAGTTCATTTTCAGTGAAACTGTCTGTTATTATTTTCATATTTTGCCAAATTAATGTAAATGTTTGATGTTAAACTTTGATTCTGAAAATAAATGATTCCATTCATTTGATGGGTCAAAGATAAACAACGTCTCTCGTTACATTTCTGAGAAATTCAATGCACGGCATTACACAGTCAGAAAAATGAAGAACTCGTGAAAAGTATGCATAAATATATACACATATATTTGTCATACTATAAGTGACACGTACCTCACGTGACTCACTACACAGTGAAGTTGCTGTAAAACTGGGGCTAAATTTTTGAAACATGTAAAGCCATGTAAAAGTAATTTGTGCGGCAGACCAAAGAGGAGAGAGTATTAATGATTTTTAATCCTCATTCAAAGTAGAAATCAAGTTAATGTCTGTTACAAGAGTAATGATGCATTTTTGATTCTCTGTCTGAAACAAGAAGGAGTAAGTCGGTCAAAAGTCAAGTTTCGGTCAAAAACATGTTTACTGGAAAGAAACGTCATGTTTAACTTTTTCAGACAGATATGAGGAAAACGGCTCCAAAAAGTCTCTGTTCTTCAAAACATTTTTCTATCTGTTCTTAACAATCTACTCTTTCTCCTTGACTTTTAATAACCTCTTACATCACTGAAACCACACCCCCTGTTGGTTCGTTTTAACCAATCAAGAAGTTCTCAGAGGAACCGGAAGTGAGCTCTTTAAAAGGGTCAACACTTCCTAGTTCCAGGGAGTTCAGTTCAGAACGCAGAACGCAGAACAAAGTTCCAGAAGGAAGAACAAAGTTCCGAGTCTCGTGGGGCTTATGGAATCTTCCACATCTGAGTGGAAACTCTGACGTACTCACAGCTCATGTGAGTCCACCCGAGAGGTGAGCGTGGTGTTGAACGAAGTACCGTCACTACTCCGGACGTTTTCCAACCATCCTAAGGAGACGCTGGAAATGGTAGCGTTAAATGGAACTCCGTACCAGCTGATTCATCTTCAGAGAGGTAATGAGTCGATTTCCTACTGAAGCGTACCGAGGTGGAGCTGGGTTCGAATGGAGAGTGCCGTTCGTTATACAGACACATTTCCCTCACCCATTCTCTCCATTTAAACTCCTTCATTTCCCATCTTTAAAACTCTTCTATCTTCTATCAGTGAGATACCATGGCCGTATGGTTTCTAATTGTAAAGCTCATCAATTAAGCTGTTGTTGAAATCAATCTGCCAATTATTGTAAATGTGTGATGTGTTGTAAATCGTTTTTAATTAAACGGCTCACTGTTGTTGGTGAGTCAGAAATTAAAACACGTTTCCGTCCACATTTAATCATTCAATGCACGATAGTACTCAGTCCAGAAAAATGAAAGAATCCGTTTAAATTATGAATAATACCTGACAGGTATATGTTCTTTACAATGTTTAAAAGTTATTGGCACCACACCTGAGGCTAAGCTGCTGTTCACAATGCCAAGAACAGGAGGGCCCAGAACAGGAAGAAGCTCCTTGAGGAGTCGAGGGGGGACAACGTCAAAAGGGGAGCCAGATGGCTTCATGCCGTACATGACCTGCTCCAGGGAAGACAGAGAGATGGGCTCGAAGTGGTCAAGAACAGCAACACAATGAGATGGGATGGACGGATCATGAGCAGGTGGAGAAATGAGTGCCCGGGTGTTTGCAACTTTTTCAGAAAAGAAATGGAGGAAGTTTTTACACAGCTCTGTTGAGGCTTCTAGAGGTGAAGGTTCACTGAGGTGTAGAACTGAGTTCAGGGTGGAAAAAAGGGCTCGGGGGTTGTGGGAGTTTGAGGCAATTATCGCAGAAAAGAACTTCGATTTGGCGGCTTTAACTGCCTTCTGATAATGACGCCAACTCTCCTTTAGGATTTGAAAAGAAACCTGCAGCCTGTCTTTCCTCCACCTGCGTTCTGCTCTCCTACACTGCTGTCTAACGGCTTGAGTGACATCATTAAGCCATGGTTCTGATAAAAGTTTTGTTTTCTTGGTTTTAACGGGAGCAACACGGTCCAGAATATTTAAGCAAACAGAGTTAAGCTGAGAGGTTAGCTCCTCAGTGGAGAGAGACACTGAGAGCTGATCGATCCTCTCAGAGCTAAAAGCTTCAGTAAAACGTGCAGCAGTGAAACGGTTAATGGCGCGTGAAGTACGTGCAGAATCACATGACTTAGCAGTAGGACAAGGCGGGATGATATCAAACAAGCCAGGCATGTGGTCTGAGAGAACGTTGTCACCGATTACCAAATTACAAACAGAGACATCACGTGTTAAAATGAGATCCAGAGTGTGACCGTGTTGTTGGGTGGGACCATTTACATGTTGAGTTAAATTAAATGAGTCCAACAAATCAAGGAAGTCCTTCACTAATGGCTTCTCCTGACAACAGACGTGAATATTAAAGTCACCAACGATAATAAAGTGATCATATCTTGGTGTGATGTAAGCCAGAAAATCAGAGAATTCACTTATGAAGTCCTTGGAACGAGGGGGGCGATAAACAATCGCGCACAGAACGGGAGGAGAATGTCCGAGTTCAAACGCACTCAGCTCAAAAATGGAGCAGGGCATGAGGGTGGACAACTGTTTACAGGAAAAGTTTGATTTAAATACAGTTAATATTCCACCACCCCGCCGACCTGATGGCCGCGGGGCATTAAAACACAGACAGTCAGGAGGTAAAAGTTCCACCAAGGCGCTTGAATCACCCAAAGGCAACCAGGATTCTGTGAGAAAAAGAAAATCTAGTCCCTCGTCTTTAAAAAAGTCATTTAGGATAAAAGTCTTGTTGGCAACAGACCTGGATTTGATGTCGGTTAAAAGTCAAGGATCTCGGTCAAGAGTCAGGAAGCAAGTATAAGAACGAAGTGCTTTGTTTTTAAAACTCTCAGACAGTAAATAAGAAACTGGCAAGTGTAAGTCTGTCATTTCTCCAAAATATTTTCTCGTCTGTAACTAACCATTCTTAAAACATTCCTGCTGTTTTCTTGACTTGTAATGACCCTCTGACATCACTAGAACCACCCCCTGTTGTTGCTTCAACCAATCAGGAAGTCCTGAGGTGACCGGAAGTGAGAACTCTTTAAGAGTACACACTTCCTGGAACTTCTCAGATCAGTTGAGGTCTATCAGGTCAACTGGGTCTCTCAGTCTTGAGTCGGTCTTCAGTCTGCTGGAGTCCGGGACCGGAGTCTTTCTGGGTCTTTCATGGAGTCCTCCA